GAAGCAAAGGGATCAAAACAGTATTGTGTAACCACGTCTGTGAATTTTTATGGACACAGCTGTATGGGGATACTGAAAGTTTATGGGCTTTGGGGGTACTGAAAGTTTAAATTATAGTGAATACCTATGAGGAAAAAAGTGGTCAGGCTTGAATACAAGGAAAGAGCATGGGATATCAGAGGATTGGAACATCCCTAAAATGTCTATTTTTCCAATTATCTGGGACTAATTAAAAAGACAATTTTTCTCTATGAATTTACCTTGCATCATTAGACTGCCACAGACAAATGACATAGGTATAGAAAACTGCTATTTTCAAGACTGATATTCCTTTCTGTTGCATTTTAAATGAGAAAATAATCAAATGATCAGAAAGAAAAATGGCATTCAAAGATAAAAGAAGAGAAAATAAAGAGAGAGGGCATGGAAACATGCAATGTCTTCCTGGCTTTATATCTGTATCAGTCAGAAAATGAAGAGGCTGCCTCCTAAGTATGTTGAATTGGGGAAAGTTGTGGTAACTGGCCACTTACAGCCTTGAAAATTCTCATCTTGAGCTCTTGTGTGTAAGGGAGAAGAGTGGGGATCAATATGGGAAGAGTGGGGATGATACTAGAACAATCACTGTTTTCCACATTGTATTAGTGCTTGTTAGAAAAGATGACGACTGGAAACAAAAAAAAAATCAGACATAAGGCTTTCCACTTAATGCTTCTGAAAATTGTCCACTGGGATCTTTTCTATACCTTCTATGTCAGTCACTTTCCCGCACTGTAATTTTTAAGCCCTTTTTGAAGACCAACTTTATAATTTAGAGTGGGGAATGAGCTCCTCAGTGATCAAGCAAAGAGGTTTGGATTTAGACTTAATGAGAAATTCAATCACTTCACTCAAATTATTATTTTACACAGGAAATTAATGGAAAATTTTCTCATTGACAGTGAAGAGGGCATCTGCAGTGAAAAACTGTAAAAGAAGATACATCAGTTCTGTGGACCGATCTACAGCTTCGTTGCAGCAGAGTTTCACTGCTATTTAAGGGGTGGGAGAAACAGCACAGGCAGAGAAAGCACACACTGAAGCACACAGCATTATTCTACACGAGGAAGGAAAGTTTTACACGTCTGGGAACAGCAGTCTGACAACGCAAACACAAAAGGAGCTTGCTGACCACAGTCCAGCTTCTGCATGAATGTGTACATTAGCGTTTTCCCCAGCTTAAAGTTGTTTAGTTTTATGGTTACAGCTTAGTTACAAGCAGTATATTTCAACCTATAAACATTGGGTGACAGAGATCTGACATTACAAGGGAGGACTGAAAAATGTCGGCCAGAATCACCTTGCGATACCGAGAGCATTGTACCACTTTGCCTACATTACCAAAAGCCATAACAATACAATCAATTAGGAGAACTAGCAACCTTGTTTAACTGAAAATGGTGACATCAAGTTGAACACCTGCCAAACCCACCGTAATTTCTGAAACTATTTTCTATAGTTAAGTCGCCTTAAGCTATATTTCTAATACACCTATACAAATGTAATTACATGATTTTTAATGACAATACGTTTAAGTATCTTACCTATAGGTATCACACAAAGACATACTGTTATATATATAGCACAGCTTTGGAATATCAATGCTAATATGAAGCAATCGGCCAAAAATAATAAAAGCAGGTCTTTCCACTTTTTTCTGTAAGATTTTTCCCACATTTTTTCTTTCCTGTCTTTCTGATCTCTCCTTTTATACCCTTTCTTCACCAAAGTTGAAGACAATTTACAAGATGATCTATCACTGTTATCACCTCTCTTCTTTGCTCTCTCCCATTTTGGTTGCAAGATTCATCACTACAGTAGTAACTACTGTAACTATGAGGCTAAAGTTAATGTGCTAGAAAAGCTAGTTCATACTCTTATTATAAGGCTAAACTTCACATGCCAGAAAATCAATGCTTACAGAAATAGACTGTATCTGCACTTATAAAAAAAAAATCAAGAGCAAATCAAGAGCAACTTGAGAATATAACTTCAAATCTCCAATCTCTCTGCATTACACATCATTATCAAGATAAAGAAAGTTCTGCAGTTCTTTTGAACCACACCAAGTTAATAGAAAATTTGGAAATTTCAATCAAGGATCTGCTGATAAAAATCAGCTTCTGAATGTAATGAACACATGGGAGTAGTTGTTGTCAATCAAAAAAGCCTCAACTTGCCCTTTTGAGACTGTCTCCATTTCTGACATGCTTCCCCTGCTCAATCTTGAAAAATGATCTTACCTTTCAGGAATTGCTTCTGTCTTTATCCATCATGATCCACACGCAGATATGGTGGGAGATGTATTCATTCAGATCCCTTCCTACATAGATTTAGATGTCTTGCTACTTTAAGATCCTAATTGTACATAGGCTCAATAGAAAGTGGCCAGTTATTTGTCTTCATACAATGCCCTAGCGCTCATGATGTTTTCAAGAACATACATTTAAGTTTCTGAGCTCAAGCTCCCTCTCAGGATGGCATCAAACATGACAGACTTACAACCCAACGACTCCCCCTACACATTGGGGTGAAACCCCAGCCTTACTGAAACTCTCAGTGACTCCAAAGGGGAGGGATTCCCCTTTAGTTATTTACATTAACTCTTAATCCAGGATTACATACTGCTTAATACATGAACTACCTCTCACTTTTTACAGCATCAAGTCTAACAATAACCACTAACAACACTACTTTGACTCTTTAAGGTACTTTTATCTAAAATGAGAATAAAAAGACAATACTATGTCTCATTTCTCATGCTATGGCTTAAGTAAAACAATGAAAAAATACGGGTATCTTTCGATCTAAACAGCCATTATTTACTGAGATTGTTCAGTCTTCTACATGAAGGTGTAATACTAAACAACACAAAGAGGAACAGAAAAGTTATCAAAAAACATTTGGGCATGAACCACATATAATTTCAAAAGGGCTGTTATCTAATTAATTTTACTATTAGAGTCAAGATTACACTTGCTTAAAGAAAACATGACAAATTCACTTATTGATGTTACCAGAATGATATGATCTCATCAAAATTTGACTAAGCCAGAAATCATGAATTTATAACAGAGGCCAAATCCTGCCTTCGTGATTCATGTATGAGTTTGATGCAGTAGAAATTCCCCCGTCGTTTAACCCTATCAACCAAGAAAGATCTAGCCCACTGAACTACTACACTGAGGAGTTTAAAGTAAGGAACATCTGTTCCAAACTCACTCTCAATAATAGAAGATACAATCTACTCTGCGTAGCCAAAGCAAAGCTTCATTGATAAAAGCAGCTTTATGCAAATATTCAGCTATAAATTACTTCTAAAGCTTTGGCACTGCAATGTTGAGACATCTGTTTAGAAATACTATTTTATTCTTTTTGGATGCTTATCAGATATCTTAGCAGATAAAGCTTTGTTCATGTGAATCTAATTATTAAGGGTTTTGCTAAGTTCTTTCCTGTTGGAGCTTCTTGCAAAGTGACTTCAAACTGTTTAATTTTCTGAATGTCTTGAGTGATTCCAAACAACTTTTGCTAGAAGAGGAATTAATTAATGATTGGGAGCTCAGAATCCTTTTGGTCTTTAAAGCCTTCAAAGGATGTAAAATATAGATTTTAACTCTTCCTCTCTCCTTTGAAGTGGGTCATATTTAGTGAAGAATCTTAGCCTCAGGTTTCTTCAGAGCTAGTGCATTACGCTATTCTGTATAACACCAGAAGTGCTAACAGTTTAAAACATTACCAAACAATGGTAGTCTGAAGGCTTTTGTTTAAGAAAAATTCAGAATCAAGTAAGTTTCTTCTACAAAAATTAATGTGGTATCTTTCTATTTACAGGCCTCAAATCGAGAACTACTATTTTATACAAGTACTAGGCAAAGTGGAAAATAGAAAAGTTGAGAGAAAAATCCATGGGAAAAAGGCTTCGATATGAAAAACTCTAAACACTCATTTTACATCATTTTAATTCTATTGAGTTTTTTTAGTTACTCACTATACTCATTATAAACTTAGCCAATTTAAAAGAAGATCATTAGTGCCAAACAGGTTTCTTTCATTTCAGTGATAGTTCTTAGGAACGACTGAAGAAAGAAAGGCAAATTATCTAAATCACGAATATGTTTTCATTCCAAAAGAATCTGAATTAATAAATTTTGAGATACTCCTAAAATTTCCTGTAAAACCAAAAAACTCCACTTATATTAAACATTTGGAGTGTATTCAGCCTTAGACACACTACATTTAGGTGTCTATATACAGATCTTTATATTTAAGCTCTTACTATTAAAGGGGATGTAGTCAGCACAGTTTATGAAGCCACAAATGTCCAGTTCACCTTGAAGCACATATCTACAGGTAATTCTAGATAGAGTTGAGTAGGGATTCAGTCTCCTTTGATTGCAAATTGGAGCCAAGACAACCAGCTCATGTGGAGACACATGCAAAGACCTAATTTTAGGTACTGAGTGTTGAATCCTATCCTTGGTTTCAAAGCAAAACTTTGTTTCTGTTTTCCTTAACAATATGAAGTAAAGTAAATATCAAAATGAAAATGGAAATATCAGTTACATATAGCTACATTTTATCAAAGTTGACATATTCCATAAGAAAAGGCTAATTTTAATAAAACAGTTTTTCCTGAAGACAAATAATTTCATCAGTAGGAAAAAAAAAAAGAATAGACCTACTCTAGTCCACAGATAATGGAAAAATAACTAAGAAGTTTCCTTCATTGTTCTCCTTTAAAGTAATAATCCTAATGTATATAATACTCTGATCTTGTTAAGAGAGTGTGTACGTACTCCAGAATTAAATCCTCATGAACAGGTACTCAATAATAAATAATTTTAGAGTTCATTGGAAAGTTAGGACATATATGTTAACTACTGGTGGAAGGACCTCGACAGCAAAGAGGCACTAAAATAAGAAAAATATTAATTATAAACATAAAGTTGTTTTCCTACCTGTGTGCAGACAAATTACTGAGGTACAGGGTGTATTTTTCTTCAGCAGACAGCCCATCCATCATCAAGTAAAAAACATGAAAATTACTCTGGTTGAGAGGCTGCACAACGACACGAGACTTCTCCAACATGTATGTATAAATCCTAGCTGATTGAGAAACAAACAAATAAATTCATCATTAAACTGATTGCCCTAAATATATATATTTTAAACCATTCACCATTGTAACAGTGAAGAATAAACAATGTTTCTTATAAAATGGTCTGAGATGAGCATATAAAATATATTACCATTCATTCTACCATGGTTTTCTGTATAAATCATATATAAATCCATAATTCCATTAAAATTAGTGGAACAAATGTCTTACCTTGCTTACTGGCTGTCTTATATTACCTTTAAAATTACTCAATTTTAAAGATATTGATGTTGATTTGTACTCTGTTTTACTTATTTGAGGAAGTAGTTGTTGTATTTGGCAAGATTTTCTAAGAGACAAGCTATTAGTCATCTCACTGAAGTGAGATGTGCCACTGAGCATTAGCATCTATTCTAAGCTCCTTCTTAATGGAAAGAGAAAGATGCAAGAGAGATTCCAGACATCTTGGAAAAACCACCCTTGGAACCATTTCCTGTGTTAGTAATCAAGAATACTGAGACAAGTAGTTGAGATTAACCATGTAACTTCTAGATGGCTACTTCTATATGGCTAGCCCACTGACCTGTGCCTGGGGAAACATGGGCATCTCAGAAGGGCTGTGATGAGTTTGTCAAATGAGAAGCCATGTGAGTCAGCACATCTGGGAAGAAGGTGAAGCAAGACGAACCTGACCGCAATTTGCCTACAGAAATGCCGATTACAAGATCACAGAATCATCATAACCTCAGGTCCACTAAGGTTCTAAAAGAGGCAAAGCACAGAAGAAAAGGAAATATGGACCCTGAGATCCGTTCACATACTTCACCAGATTACAGGCATTTTAGGTGTGTACGTGAAGAGTCAGAGGGAGATTCACCAAGCTGGGTGAAAGTGTCAATCTGCTTGAGGGTAGGGAATCTCTACCTACAGACGGATCTAGACAGGCTGGATTGCTGGGCCAAGGCCAATTCCATGAGTTTCAATAAGGCCAAGTGCCAGGTCCTGCATTTTGGCCACAACAACCCCCAGCAGCGCTACAGGCTTGGGGAGGAGTGGGTGGAGAGCTGCCAGGCAGAGAGGGACCTGAGAATGTTGATTGACAGCTGGCTGAACACAAGCCAGCAGTGAGCCCAGGTAGCCAAGAAGGCCAATGGCATACTGGTCTGTATCAGAAATAGTGTTGTCAGCAGGAGTAGGGAGGTGATCTTTCCCCTGTACTTGGCTTTGGTGAGGCCGCACCTCAAGTACTGTGTCCAGTTTTAGGCCCCTTTCTACAAGAAGAACATTGAGGTGCTGGAGAGGGTACAGAGGTGGGCTACCAAGCTAGTGAAGGATTTGAAGCATGTCTCATATGAGGAATGGCTGAGGGATCTGGGGCTGTTTAGCCTGGAGAAGGAGGTTGCAGCGAGGTGGGGATCGATCTCTTCTCCTTAGTAAGAAGAAACAGAACAAGGGGAAATGGCCTTAAGCTGCAACAGGGGAGGTTCAGAAGGAATATTAGGAATAATTTCTTTACTGAAAGGGTTGTCAGGCGTTGGAACAGGTTGCCCAGGGAGGTGGTGGAGTCACCATCCCTGGAGGTATTTAAGAGACAGGTAGATGTTGTACTTAGGGACATGGTTTAGTGGTGTTGATAGAGCTAGGACAAAGGTTGGACTCGATGATCTTGAAGGTCTCTTCCAACTGAAACTGTTCTATGATTCTATGAAAGTGCTACTCTGCACAGGCCAAACCATCCCAGACACAGCCCATTTAAACAGTACAGAAGGTCAGTGGTACACTACCCAGGGGCATCTTCCACCCTTTCTTTTACTTAACAGCACAGGCATGGCCTGACACGTGCTGGCAACCAAAACCATGCCTGGGATTCTAGCTACAGAAGAGATAGTAGAACTGACAGAGAAGAGTTGTATGACTAACTTGCTGAGCAGAGAAGACATGATCTGGCCTATTTAATCATTCTACAAAAAGTAAAAGTCAACTCCTGCTATTATGGAACATATATCATGAGAAATTCTGTACTAGGCATTTAGCCCTCTGTTGCTACACTATGGAAAAAAGAACTGCACTGGAAGTAAAAGGGCATGCTTGGGAAATCTTTAAGCTGGTAGCAAGATACGTCTCTGGCTTCAGTAAATTTGCAGCAAGCTACAAACTGAAGTAACGCAAACTTAACCTGACATGGCAGGACTGGCCCAGACACACATTTTCATCAGAATCAATCATTACCAGGCTGCCACTCCTATAGGGTAAAACAGAATAGGTGAACCTGAAGGATGGCTTCCATCCTTTATTGTGCTTGTAACTTATTTCTCAGTAAAACTAACCCTACCATCAATTAATTTGAAAAAAGGCCATTTACTACTCTTTATTTACCCTTTTTGTTTGCAATTACCTCACTAAGGCTTTCATAACTATCACTTTTGTGTTTTTAATATTCATTGATGAATAAAAGCAAGAAAAACATTACTGGAGGTCATATATATGAATAATTAATACATTTAACTTTAATGATGGGCAACACCACTTATTTAGATGACACAAATTAATCCAGCCCTTTTCAGGTACTTCAAGTCACCCACTTCAATAAGGCTAAACATGGTTCATCTCAGTTACCATCTCCAGCAATGGGAAGAGCTGTTAAGAAGAGTCGAACTTCTGATCAGCAAGAATCAAACACAGCACCATCTTAATGGAGACAAAATAACTCACAAAGAAATCATGGTAATATGCTTTTCTACAAAATGAAATGATATGTTCGTTAATCTATGTATGAAATAAAGGGGGAAAAGAATAAGAGTTCCAGAGCAAAGTCTGCCATTTTTTTGCAATATGTTAACTGTGCTTACAGGCACAAGGAAATTTGCACTTCCCTTAACAGGTCACTTGATCTACTGAGTAGCTACAAAGTCAGCAAGCGGTCTCTTTATTGAAAGTGTGGCCAGTGAAATCTCTCTTCCAGCTATGCAATCTTTGAAACTACATTGCTTTTTCTCAAAAACCATGCTGTACTAAACACAACCATTGCTAAAGACAAAATAACATTTGAAAGTTCAGAGCTAAAACACAGTACAAAAACACATCAGAGAGTTTAACTTACTGCAGTCTTTCTTATGCCAAAAACCAGAAATTAATGTCTGAAACTTTTTAATTGGTAAAAAAATGTTTGTCACACACATAGGCAAATATGCATTCTGCTTCTTTTTACAAATCAAATTAGATCTTTCCATCTCAGTGCAACTTAAAAAAAAAATAAAAATCAGGCTTTGTTTTTCAAAAAATGAAGACTGAGAAAAGCAAGGCCTGAAAAGCAAGGCAGGAAAATTTGGAGAGTAAGTTTGTCAGGCTTGATTTTCTCTTCCTAAACATTTTTTTTAGTAATTTGAGGAAACTGACAGAAGCCTTTCCCTTCAACTTAGGAATCATGTCAATTTACTGGAAAGTCCATTTATTTTCTCCCTTTCCAAATAAAAATAAAATGCAGTCATTTTACTTCTGGAAATAAATAAATAATCAGTCTTTTACTACCATGCAGTGTGTGTGAATCATCGTCTATGAATGACTATGATTATTTGGCAGAAGATCAGTCTTTGAGTTCTGTTAGGTATGTATATGCTTTAGAAACTTAATGAAATCACTGGGCTGTAGTTTATTCTGCATTTGTTCTGATGGAAGACTTTTTACTCGTTCCCATTGCCTTATCTTACCCAGTCATAAAGAACAATGACTTAATCTGGGTTATACCTTCTCCACTTGTTTGACTGGACTAAAGCAATGAAAGATACCTGACCACAAAGCCACTTCTCACAGAAAAAACTCCTATTTGAACCCAACATCGCAGCACATTTCATTAGAAACAAGTCAGAGAAGACACATAAAATCTCCACAGATATCTGAACTGGCTTTGAGTAGAACCACGCCCAAGAGCTCCAACCTTGTTTTCAAAACTTCATGACAAAGATGCAGTTTATGAGAAAGACCGAATCAAGCCTGTAGATGAATATTATGGCCAACGTTTCTTTTATTTAGGTATGTTGGACTTTCCGCTATAAGAATAAACCTTACATGAGGAAAGTCAGAGCATTTCCAAGGTCTAGGCATAAAAGAACTTCAGCATGAACAAAAAGCTGTCACAAACTTTGCCAATGTCCACTCAAAATGCGAGGAATGCTACCTTGAGCTTACCCTCTAAAAAAAAATGTACACATGTACTTTGCATGCCCCCTCCTTAATAAATTGTTCTGGATCTCCAGCCTTAAGATCTGTATGTTAAGGAGTTTAAACAACCTAAACCCTTTGATGGAGTCAGTCTAGTGTCAGCTGGATTTTTGTTTACAAACCAGACATATTTACCCCAGTTTGCCTCAATGAGTTATAAAGTCATGTCTCAGCCGAATCAGGTGCTCTGCATATTTACATTTTTCATTCATGTTTAAACAGTGCAAGACAGTAAATACTGCTGCAAATGATCTTGCAAATAGATACAGAGAAACATTGGGTGGGATTTAAACCAGCCAAAGACAACATGCCTGATTCTTTTCTCAGTTATGGTGGTATAAATCTGTGACAGTTTCACTCAGAAATGATGATTAGCAGTGTCCTAGAAAAGGCAACATCTACAATGCAAATAAAACAGCACAAACAACTACAACTTGCAAATATATAAAAACACTTTTACTGCTGTACTGGGGCTTTTCACTCTTGACTGTAAATTACGGAACTTTTGGCTACCTCAGATTTGGTAAGAGTAATCTATTCAGTTCTTAAATATTTGGGGAATAGTAGGGCAGATAAGTAATTTGTTTGTATTTGTTAATGGACTTGACTACCCCTAGATTTTCTCATTTAATGCCCATGGTTTGAGAGTGATAAAAACACAGCACGACTGTACCAGAAAACTGACATGAGAGCCAGGTTAACTGATTCCACATTTACATAATTCACAGACAAGGGTTATGTATTAAACTGGCAAGTCTGGGTAAAGCTATTTGAAAACTCAAGGCCCTTCACTCTCAAGCAAGGCACACAAAAATTGTGGGAACACATGGCCTTGAGGCTTTCATTCCTCACCTAAGGAACTGAATGACACAACCTTAGGTCAGAAGCACTGTGAAAATGAAGACATTTATGTTTCTGAAATGTTCATACAGTGAAAAATGTTGATGAACAACACAGAAAATCCACAGAAAAAATAGCATTCTGTTTTTAGAGCAGAATAAAATGGCAAAAGCCACACAGGAATCAATGAAGGGAAAACAAACTATTTAGTAGCACATCACCAAAGAAATATAGTCCATTCTCTGCACTGAATGAAGCTGGGGAGGGGTTGAAAAACAACAGCATTAAATTTGTATGCATAAGGCAACCCAAGAGTATCTCAGACAACTTCAATTCTGGCGTTTCCTAAGGTTCATATGCTTGAGTTTTCAAAATTAGTGTAATTTTCAACTGGTTTTGTTTGTGCTCTGTGTATAACAAAAAAGAGAAAAAGTGCGCAAGCAATGTAACTGTGATAACTAAATATACACAAATTAAATATATGCAATACAAAGGATTTATAAAATATTGGTTTTAGGGATTGAACTTTATTTTACCAGTCAAATTCAAATGTCATTTAGCCCATCCTAATGTTTACATCACTTTCATTATATTCCTCCCACAACGGCTCATAAATTAAATAATAATAATAAAAAAAAAATATCATGCTTTTTAGTTTTACTTTTTCGCATCCTAATGTTTACATCACTTTCATTATATTGCTCCCACAACAGCTCATAAATTAAATAATAATAATAATAAAAAAAATCATGCTTTTTAGTTTTACTTTTTCATTACAAATATCCTATATTTACAGTAAAACAAATCAGAAAATAGTGATAGTAATATCCCATGCAGTGATATTTTCACTGAAGAAACTATCACATTTGCTAGGGTACGGTGAACTCTCTCAAGAAAATGAATTGTAATTCCCAATAGGAAATATTTCCAAAGAATATTTTTAGGAAAATCTTCGGAAAGCATAAACACATTTAAAATTACTAAAAATGAGTACTTTTGGAAAATTTTTGGAAAATATGGAAAATTTTGTCCAACAGAATCTAAAGTGGATCAGAAGTGTGTCTCCTTACACAGTGTTTCCACCCAGGAAGATCAGTGCAAGTAGGAAACCGTCTATGTACAGTTATTTCTGCACAGACCTCTTGTTTTAGCACAAAGTAACTTTATGGTGACCTATGCAGACCATAAATGAAACGTCTCCCTCACTGCCTCTGAAGACAGAGTTTTTGGAATCAATTTAACTGGAGTTTTGTCAAATATTAACTTTTTTCCACTAACTAATACCTACTGTGGTTTAGCAGACTCCCACTCACTCTGAAAACAGGCACGAATTCCACACTATCTTAACTCTAATGAGAATAAACATCAGTATGATTCGTAGTTCCTTAAGAAGAAGCTCAAAGCTGCATTAAATTACTTATTTCAGTATTACAGAGTATGCTTATATTTTGTTCGCCCTAAACAGATGACTCATAAAATAGACAATACCATACTAGATACAAATGCAGAAATTAATCTCTTTGTTCCTTTTATTTCATAGTAAAGATATACACAGCTGTCACAGTTCGTTAATCTCGGGCGTGAAGGGAAATGTGATTTCCTGGGAGATGGAAGAGGAATGAGTGGTGTTCATTTCTTTTTCCCTTGTCTTTCTCTGCCACCTAGTGGTTGCACACCACAGGGCTCTGCCTCAGCCCTGCACACTACTCTTGATAAGCTGTGAATTCACAAGGTATTAAACACGTTCCTAAAACTCCCCTGCCTCTTTCACATACTTTAAGGACATTGATGCCTAACTCTGTGTATGGCACACTGGGATCTACTGATCTACTTATCTGTGGGTGATATCAAAATAAACAGATTAAATGATACCTACCTGCAATTAATGTTTTTTTCTTCTCACAAAACTGTAGCTCAAAATATTTTATAAAACAGCTGGAAAAATCATTCAAGGGTGTCTTGGCATGTCCAAAGGCCTCCAAGATACAGTTTACCTGCAAGACAGTGGCAAACAGGTAATAAGAGAGGACATAAAAATGAAGATATTTCAGTAAACATCGGTGAGGTTGGTTTGTGATCAATAACTGAAAAAAACCAACAAAAAAATGACTGTTTTTCAGGTTGGAATTTAACAAATTCCTTGAAAGTTTTTTTCTCAATAGAAATTAAAGTAAGATAGCTCAAAAGAAAAAAAAAAAAAAAAGCACTGTCAAAATATTGGAAGTTGTAAATGGAAAGGGAAGACAGTGGCTCTCATGTGAGCTGTGTCCTTACTGGTAGTGTGGATACAAGTGACTGCAGTCATATGCCCAGAGCTGGCATTCTTATCAAAAAGATTAGAATCTTTGAAGGCAGCTGTAAAGTTACAGTCAGTTCATACTAATAACCAACCAAACAAATTTACAACCCATACATCATGACAGAAATGGAATAAATTATTGATTTAACACAGAAATACTTCAGCATCAGTGAAAAACTGAGGAAAAAAACAAATTCAGACTTTTTTACAGCATCTCTCACTAATGCATTTCCATGTTACATCTTCATGGTCACAGTAATGGTATTTAAAAAGAACATTTTAAAAAAAATAATTAAATATGCCATCTTTATTCCATGTTTTATCTGTATTTAGCTTTTTTTGGTGTATAATTAGTTTCTTACACCCCTTACACCCTGAAGGATTCCTTTCAGCACTTTCCTCTTTTTCATCCTGAGAAATTGATTGCAATGTGGCCCAAATACACTGTTATTCTAATATAACAGTGGTTTGCTGAAGCTGGATGACCTAGCTGGGGAGGGAATAAGGCTGAGGAGTGGCACAGATAACATGTGGTTCCAATCACAAAGACAGGAGCTCTAAAAATCAGACCCTTCAGAATTATTAATTAAACCAGCTATTTGCACAGTAGGTGGCAGCAGAAAACTAGTCAGCCTGGTTTTGATTCCACTCCAGTAGCATTTAGGATGTATTTGCTCATTAGGCTAAATCAGTACTTGGTTTAACCCACACAGTT